TGTAAATTATTTGTAGACACACTTCCGCCGCAAATGAGACGTTTGGTGAGTCTTCAGACGCTTGTGTTAAGCCATAACCCGTTAGCGCACAACCAGTTAAGACACTTACCATCGTTAACATCACTCAAGTCATTAAACCTTCGCAATACTGAGCGCAACCTCCAGAATATGCCCCACTCTTTGGACGGTTTGGTTCAGTTAACAGAACTCGACTTATCGTCCAATAATCTGCCGCGAATTCCTGACTCCATATTTACGCTGAAGAGTCTAACGAGACTCAACATAAGTGATAACTGTTTGACACAATTGTCGCAAACTATAGACGAAGAGTGGCCGCAACTGGAAGTGCTGAACGTATCGCGAAATAAACTGAATTCATTGCCCAACGCTTTGTGCAAATTAACGAATTTAAGGCGCCTTTACGTCAACGATAATCATCTGGACTTTGAGGGCATTCCCGGAGGAATCGGCAAACTATACAACTTAGAGGTGTTTATGGCCGCTAACAACAACTTAGAACTCATACCCGAAGGAGTGGTCCGTTGCGGGAAACTTAAAAAGTTAATTCTGGCCAACAATCGGTTGATTACATTGCCGGACGCCATACACCTGTTGACCGACTTAGCGGTGCTCGACCTGAACAACAATCCGGACCTAATTATGCCTCCAAAGCCATCAGAATATGCCAAACGTTTAGAGTTTTATAACATTGACTTTTCGCTTAACAATCAGTTAAGACTCGCCGGCGCCCCCACTACTAGTGGGTTAGGCGCTACTGTCAGTAAGTGATGTGATGTTTAAATTCACTTTAAATATTTATAAAACTGGTGTTTTATACTGGTTATATAAAACTGGTTATAAAATTGCATTTAATATGAATAATATAGACAATTGATTAATAAAATTGTTGCGATATTTAGCGCCAAACAAAGACCCGATTGCGAGGAAACTACGATTAGTGCGAAGAGCGCGCGAGAAGACAACAAACTCGGATTCGTCTAAAGTGTTGAAAGGAATGACAGATTTAGCCAAAGAGAAGGATCGACTGAAATGCGATGCAATGCTTAACGAACAGGACTTGAAGCCAAAGCGATGGGACGAAGCGCTGGAGAAGCCGCCACTCGATTACAGCGACTTCTTCGACGAAGACATCGGACAACTGCCGGGTCTTACCATTTGGGAGATCGAGAACTTTGTGCCAAACCGTATAGAAGAGGTTCTTCACGGGAAGTTCTATGAGGGAGACTGTTATATAGTGCTGAAGACCACTGTCACCGACAGCCAGAGCCTCGATTGGAAGATATTCTATTGGATCGGCTCTCAGGCGGCGCTCGACAAGAAGGCCTGTTCGGCCATTCATGCGGTGAATTTGCGTAATTATTTGGGCGCCAACTGTCGCACAATCAGAGAGGAGCAGACGGAAGAGAGCGACTCTTTTATGGAGCTCTTCCCCGAACGCATCATTTACATAGAGGGCGGACGCACTGCCAGCGGCTTCTTCACTGTGGAGGAAGTGGAAGTGGCCAATAGGATGTATAGACTGCACGAACTCTCCAATAGGCAACTCTTCATGGAAACAGTTTTNTTCCCCGAACGCATCATTTACATAGAGGGCGGACGCACTGCCAGCGGCTTCTTCACTGTGGAGGAAGTGGAAGTGGCCAATAGGATGTATAGACTGCACGAACTCTCCAATAGGCAACTCTTCATGGAAACAGTTTTGTTGGAGTGTTCGTCATTAGATCCGCGGTATATATTTCTCGTGGATTCCGGATATAAGATATATATCTGGAATGGATTGAAGTCGAAGAATACGATGAAACAAAAGGCGCGACTATTGGCCGAAAAGATCAATAATGACGAGCGAAAGAACAAAACGGAACTTATTTTCTGCACTCAGGCCTCAGAACCGCCCGAGTTTTGGACGGATTTGAATTCCGGGAAACCGCTCGAAGAGCTGCCGGATATTGTAGAACACGTTAACGCCGACGCTTTCAAACCATACGATCCCATACTGTATAGAGTGGACCTCGGAATGGGTTATCTAGAGTTACCACAAGTCGAGTATAAGCCAAAAACATTGACCCGAAAACATTTTGATACCAAAAATGTTTATATTATGGACTGTCGTTCCGATGTCTTTGTTTGGTAATTATTGA